GATAGATAGATAGATAGAACAACCGAACGATAGATAGAACGATAGATAGAACGATAGATAAAATGATTAGATAGATAGATAGATAGATAGATAGATAGAACAACGATATGATAGATAGATAGAACAACCAAACGATAGATAGAACGATAGATAAAATGATTAGATAGATAGATAGATAGATGGAGCAAAAATGTAGTTGAAGTTGCGCTAACTTTTTTTTAGTCTACAGATAAGCTTTTGCAGGCTTATTTCAGGCTGCAGATTGATGTTACTTTTCATGAGACTTTTTAATGCACTATGCCCCTTACCCACTTGTTTATTTTTACATAATTCTTATTTTGGTTCAGTTTGTGGTGAGGCTGTGCTCTTGGGGATAGAGGTCAAAACGAGTGACTCTTTGCCCCGACTGAAATCATTCTCATGGGAAACACTCGATAGAGAGAGCCAATGCCAGAATGCTCCTCACAATTACCCAAACTTAAGGGCCCTTTTTCTGAAGGTGAAACTTTACACGTAGCTATTCACCTTTCCTTTGGCAATACCACAGCCAGATTGATCCGATGTTTGTTTTCACACGTCGTGCATAGCTCTCCTCCACTCAAGGATAGCTGTGTTTTATTGAACCTCCAACTCAGTTTTATGTGAAGTGCATGGCAGGTTTGACATAGCTCTTGGTATGGATCAGGGTTTTTGAACCACTTCCAGCATCTATGTAATCCTGACCCTTTGATATTGCCATGGATCGACTACATTTTAATGTCTAATAAATGTTATGTAGTTTAATAGGAGTAAACTGTGCAGTTAACATGCAGTGTCCTGTAGTATAACATGCTATACACCATCTAAAACAGCACTTTTTGATAGTTTACCATTTTTATGCATGCATTTTTTTATGACATGAAACGTGACATTTTTGCATGTAAAAATTACTGTATTATTTTTTTTTTATTATTTTATAGAGCTTTATCCTAAAATCTTGATGTTGTACAAAAGTTAATGTTATTTGTCAGCCGCCCACTTATTCTTCAATCAGGAAATGTCACATTATACAATACAATAGCAGAGTTTATTAGCATTGCTGTGGCGGTTGCCCTGATTCAGTCAGGGTCGCTGGATTTAGTTACCTAATGTAGAATTTTTGTTTTACAACAACAAAAAAAGCCTAATTTAGACCAGAAATGACCAGGGGAGAGAAAACAGCTTCCTGTCAGAAATCATCTGCCCTGAAAATTCACTCAAGGTCATCTTTCAGGACAGTTCCAGTGCTGTCCTTTTATGGAGCCCCTGTCATCCCTCAAACTGTAGGGTTTAATTGTATTAATTGTGTAGATTGTTTGCGATTTACGGAACGGTTATGCAAGACGTAAATGAATCATAGAGACCTGATTTTGTAGGAACAAACCTAATATGGTGTTTCATGCCCAGAAAATATATTCAATAAGTCAATTAAAAGGGTTGATGTACAGGTCAAGAATGAGATAAAAGTCTAAATGAATACTCAAATGTGATTTGTCAGACATTGATCGAGCCCTGGGTTTGGTTAGCGTCTCTGGTGACTGAGGACCTCTTGCCTTGCAGCTTTGTTCAGATGGTGATGTAAGCCACTTTCACTGATGTTCCTCTGCCATTTTAATGTAAAGTTCCTTATAAAGGTTGAACATCAATTTTAAATGTTGCTTATTATATTGCTAAGATCATTTGATTTTTAATCATTTATGTAAGAAATACCTCATATGATCTATTAGTATGAGAAAAAGTATTATTAAAAACTACACATACAGTAATATGAATTTAAAATAATTTCATTCTATTTTAATGTTACTTACATTTATTTGTATTCTAAATTTCAACAATGTAATTTAATTTAATATTTAATTTAATCTTAGATCTTAAGACATTTCTTTTTAGGATAGTTTTTATTTTATTCTTTTATTACACATGTTTATTTTAATAGTTTTTCTGTTCTTTGTGTTAAGAACTACACATACTGAAGTTATATGGATTTCAATTAACTCTATTTTCATTGTACTTCACATTGATTTGTATTCTAAATTGGAATTTAAGTCAATTTAATTTAATCTTAGATTAAATTAATTTATTAAAGATTAGATTTTAAAGCTTTTATAGGATAGCTTTAATTAAAATTTAATTTAATTTAATCTCTTGCATGTTTATTTATTTATTTATTTTTTTCTTCAGTTTGCTGTATAAGTAATTTGAGAAGCCCTCTTTAATTGTGCTATATAAAATAAAGCAAATCTAAAATAAAAAATCCAAAACAAAAAAATATTATTACTAAAATAATAATAATAATAATAATATTAATAAAAATACATTCTAAATTCAATTCTGAATGGCACACATAAGCCTGCTACAAAGTAACGTTTGAGGCATGACCAAAACTACTCCCACCCAAGGTAATTGTTGGGGGAAATGTTATGTTATGTTTTTTGGGGGTCTGACGTCTGACACTGCAGTATTAACACTGCTGGTACTCATAATGAAAGCTCTTATCATGCCTAAAGGGACCGCCAGCTTCCAACTAGAAATTGGCTGCATAATTTATCAGTAAACCGCTGATTTATCATGCATGCGTTCGTGGTTCCAAGTTACGACATTGTTTATAGTACAGATGATGATAATAGTTAATGATCCTAAAGGTTAATTTCACTCTTTCAGCCCCTGTTGAATCAAAGCACGCTTTGTTGAAATACAACAGTGATTCTGAGGCACATATGACATTTAGGTCATGCATGCATGTGCAAGGTTTGTTGTACTTATACTGGTTTCAAAGGAATTACCTCACAAATATATAGCTAAAATGTTTGAGAAACTCCTTAAATTGCCACCATGTGTCAGAAACATACGCACACAAGTTTTTTTAGTTGGACTCCAAAGGTGATAAATGGTGAAATTTGAAAACTAATTAAGTAGATATTTGCTTACATGCTGGCAATTTCTCCTACATAAAAATCTCTATTTGAGAGATCAAACATGTGCGAAGATTTATTCAGACAGCATTTATGTCTGTAAGATTAGACAATCTGAAAACAATACTGATG